TTTTTTTTTTCCCTAAAACACATAGTTACTCTTCATTTCCCATGTTCATTTTTGGAGCAGCTTTCCTCTAAGGGGAAGAAATCAGCAATGAACACACGACAATAGGTCTGGGGGCCGTGACTTACGAGTACCAGATTTCGAATGTCACAACGAAGGCAGGCAAATAGAAGTGTGCTGGACAGCTAACGGGGTTGGCCACTGTACTGACACTATTTCATTTTAATTTTACTCTCTGAACACTCTGAATGAAAGTATTATTGTTCTCACTTTATAGATAAGGAAACAAGTTCAGAAAGGTGAAGTAGCTTGCCTGAGGAGACTTGGCAAGTCACTGGCCGAGCTGGGATTTGAATGCCAAGGTCCATTTTCCACCCATCACACCAGGCTGAACCCACACGAGGATCTGGCAAGAAGGTCCAACAGCAGACTAAGTTTCCACCAAGAGAAATCCCACAGACTCACGGGGGAGGCTGCAGCAGGATCATGCCAAGGGAGAGCCCTGCTCTGGGCCAGACCAGAGGCCTGTGTGGAGCAGAGGTAGAGAAAATTGACCTTCAGATGCCTCATGCTGCCCAACCCATAGCCAAGAGCTTTCGGACTCTGAATCTTGACTGGAAGGAAGGTGCTTTCTCATGTGGAATCTGTAGTATCTGTTAGTTTACTCAGCATCATGGGGAAAAAAGCCACCACTTAAAGATTACTGTACATGGGGCCGCGCCTATAGCTCAAAGGAGTAGGACGCTGGCCCCATGTGCCAGAAGTGGTGGGTTCAAACCCAGCCCTGGCCAAAAACTGCAAAAAAAAAAAAAAAAGATTACTGTACATGCGGACACTCGGCTAACTTCTCAGCGTTCCTCTGCTCAGCCCTCACAGCCATACAAGGAAGGACCTATTTCAGATCCTCAGGGGGAAACTAAGACTTGGAGCAGGGAGGAAGCAGCCCAATGTCAGGCCATTAGGAAGTCTCAAAGCCCAGACACAGATTGAGGACTGCCTGGTTCCTGAGGACAATTCAGATTCACTCAGTGAGGGTGGTAAACTGAAGAAAGCATTTGTTCCTGCCAACCTTGTATGTTTCAAAACTAAAGTTTCCAAAAGAATACATGTGAAGTAGGAGTCACATTTCAAGCTTTTCCCATAAAAGGAGGCTTTATGAATACTTTTAATTGCACATACAGGCATAGCACAGTCCCACTCTGCCCTGGTACCCAGGGTGCAGGCCCAGTATGATCTCAGGGATGAGGCTCCTAGGCCACAGTCCTCCCCATCCCACCCCTGGCACTGGGAAATTGCCCTGAAGGCAGCTCAGTCCTGAACACTTCCAGCCATTACTCTGATTCAGGCCAGACAGAGGGAGACTGCTATGCCCTATTGTTGCAATTAAAAGTTGCACAAATAAACTGAGCAATAACTACAAAATAGTCTACTCCTGCGGCCTATGGCTCCCTGCCCCCAGAGCCCTGAGGAGCAAACTGTGGTCCTTACAGCCCATTAGTCCTCTCTTGGGAAATTGTGGCTAGGAGCACGGAAGGCAAGGCTGGAAAGGCAGCCGGTTTCCCTCCAAGCTGGGAAGAGGTGGTAGGCTGAACCCAATCTGACCATCTTTGACAAGGATCAGAGGGCTTTCTATGGGAAGGAGATGTGCTGGGATGTGGGCCCAGGCTGCGGAGAGCTGACTTGCCAGGCTGAGCAGGCCACGATGTGTCCTTGGCAGGGTGTCCTCCCACCTGGCAGGCCACGATGTATGCCTGGCTCCAGTGCCCCAGGCTCCCTTGTTGATCCCATTAGCCCAGTCTTCATGGGGTAGAGGAAGGGGAAGGGCAGGCACCAGGCGTCTGGAGGGACAACAGTGCAGCTGGGCTGGCCTCTGAGAAGGTGGCCAACAACTACTGACTCTCCTTCCAAGCTGGCCTCAAACTTCTTGTCTAGAATTTTTCAAAATTAGACCTAGGGAAAGAAAGTGCACGGTAGGGCCCCTGGGCTCAGGTCTGTCCTCACCCCTGCCCACCTGAAGCAGGGCTCAGCCTCACACAGTCCCAATGGATCTAAAGCCATGACACATTTATAAGAAGTAACGAGGTATTTATAAAGAGATGGGGAAAAGATTTCCATGAGCAGAGCCCAGCAGACACCATTAGACAGCCCTGCCCCTGCCCTTCTTCTCCCATTCCAACTACTTCTCCCTGGGCACTGTAGGTCTTACAGTCTATAAAGCAATCTCCTCCCTCTATCATCCTAACGATTCATCTCTTAAACCTGATCTATACATCTGACTTCAATAAAAGAGCCTGGCATTTGAGCAAAGCAGGATCAATTACTTCCTCAGCACATTCCTGGGTGGCTCATTTATCCTTGGATACTTTCAACTCCAATACAGTGCACTAAGGATGAGTCCCTTCCTGTAGAGGGACTGGGCCCTTCACAGCTGCTCATCACAAAACCATAGTCACTTCCTACAGCACTTAAAACAAGTGCAAATCCATCCTGAGTCAATCCATTAAAATAAAATTAGCTCCAAAGTAGTGATGTTTCCAGGGTGCCCAGGAAATATAAATGCAAAACCACTCTGTCAGGCTTTTTCCAAAACCAGACCGCATAAAATTTCTACAGGGGAAAAAAATCTCACTGCGAATGGCTCATGGTCAAACATTATAGAACACACAGGGAAATAACCCACCACAAACAACAGAAAGCAGACACAAAACATTGGAGGGTAATAACATTCTCAAAACTTGAGCTCACAGAACAATCCGGAAAAGATTACAAAATAAATGTATTTAAAATAGTTGAAGACATCAAAGAAAAAATAGAAATCACAAGGAAACACCAAGAAACCATGAACATGGGACGGACATATTTGGAAAACGATCATAAGAATTTTTAGAAATTAGCAAAATATAGAGTGCTCTTAAAATTTTCAACATAAAGGAGTGGCCTGACATCTACTAACAAGGCTGGGGCGAAACGAAGTGAACAGAAAGACGTGTTTTAAGGAAATTGTACAGGATGCAGCACAAAGCACTGAAAACGATGAAAAGAAAGGTTAAGAAATAAGAAGGCCAGGAATGGAAACGTTGAGTACATAAACAAAAAGAGTTCTAGAGGAAAGGATGAAGAAAACGGGGGTGTGCAATATTAGGAGTATGTTGGCTGAGAATGTTTCAAAAATAAAAAAAATATGTAATCTTAATTTTCAAAAGATTTAGCACATGGACTTCTAAATAGATGTGTAAAAACACATTAAACAACAGAGAAGAAAGAAAATCTTAAATACAACTGGAGACAGAAAATACAGGATACCTTATAAAAGATGATAATTAAACTGATGGAAAAGTCCCAGCACCATCGAGAAATGCCAGAAGACAGAGGCATGGTAACTTTGAAATGCTAGGAAGAAATACCTATTAACTTAAAATCTTGCTTAGATAAAAGCCAAACTATAATTCAAGAGCAAGGGTAAAATTGAAGCATTTTCAGACAAAAACTCAGAGATTTTCTCACTCATGGTCCCACCTGAAAATAACACTAATGGATATTCTTGAAGGAAAAGAAAATGGGCGGCACCTGTGGCTCAGTGAGTAGGGCGCCAGCCCCATATACCGAGGGGCTGCCCCATGCCGAGATGGCGGGTTCAAACCTGGCCCCAGCCAAACTGCAACAAAAAAATAGCCGGACGTTGTGGTGGGCACCTGCGGTCCCAGCTACTCCGGAGGCTGAGGCAAGAGAATTGCCTAAGCCCAAGAGCTGGAGGTTGCTGTGAGCTGTGATGCCAGAGCACTCAATCGAGGGTGACAAAGTGAGACTCTGTCACAAAAAAAAAAAAAAGGACTCAACAGGGGGGGGGAAATGTAAGAATCAATGGTGAACAAAGAAACCAGTAAACTTGTAGATACAGATAAGTAAGCACTGACTTATATATAAGTAGCAGTTTGATAATAATTTATAGTAGTGACCATTGGGGGAGGTTAAAGACACATGGAACTAAAATACTGGCCAACAATAAAATGGAAGATGGAAGAAGATGATGAGCCTTAAAACATCCTAGAATCCTTAGTTTGTTCTCCTGGAAAATAGAGACATTCATGAGCTTTGAGTTTGTTAAGATAGGTCAATGTTAAGTCTTAAACATAGAGCAATGGTGAGGCAAGCTCTTGGCACGTTCATGGACTGGTAGACTCAATATAGTGAATGTGATCAAATGAGACCAGAGTGTAAGGACATTATAACCTAAAGAATTATGAAAGAATATACAAATGTCAACAAGTAGTATAATGAAGTAAGCTTCAAGGAAATCCTCAGATCTCATGATAGAATAGATAGAGTAGATAGAGTAACAGCCAAGCAACATGCTTATCTCACAAGTGTCCCCAGGCAGGTGGAACTTGGGTCACCCCTGGCATGAAGCACAGGAAAGAGCAGCAAGTGGGCCGCAGGTGCATAGTCTTTCCTCAACAAGTATTCTGAGCCTCAGATGTGCTTTGGGGAGAAGCAAAACAATAAAAGCCAAAAGAACTTTCTGCTGAAAGAGGGCAGCG